AGCAGGAGGATGGGCACAGGAAACGAAAGGGTCAGGGGACTATCAAAGAAATCTGGTCTAGTTTGCTGTTCCCACAGCTCCCATGGGCAGCCAGGAGCCCACAGGCACAATTAGACCAGCTCTGTCTCTCATTCGCTCCCGCTGCTCGGGTACTGCTGGCGTCCACACACATACGCAGCTTCCCTGACAACACTTCCAGCCCCTTCTGGGACAAGGTGAAGGCCAACTAAATAAACCCCTTTACCGGGCTCTCCCAGCCATCCTCAGTATTATTCCTGCCTGACAAACACGGGTGCTGTGACTGCTACAGGCACGTGGCCACAGGGACTGAGTAGGGATTGGAATTCAAGACTGAGCCCCACCCTCTGCTCAGATGGTGCTGATGACTTGGCACTCTCCCACCTCTAGGGTCACCCCAGCCAACCACCCTTTTCACCTCTGCTTGGGCCGTCCACTGACCCAGCCCCTGAAAATCCCAGCCCCACAGAGGTTGCATTGGTGGCCCTCGTGGCATAGACGCCTGCAGCCTAGCAGTACAGGGACCCACCTCAGCCTCAAACTTAGCCCTGTGTTTGAATTTGCTCCCAAGGGGGTGTGCGGCCTGGGAAGAATTGGAGGCCTCAGCATTGGGAGGTGTGGGTTCATGTTCTGCCCTGTTCCATATGGGAGGCCTGGGGCAGCTCCTGGTCCCCTTGGGCCTGGGTCTCCTCCTTTTTTCTTGGAGGGGGTGAGTCATTTCCCAGGGCTTTTCTCGCCCACACACCTCCTTTATTCTGTGACCTCATGACCCCATCGTGCCCCTCAGCCTGATTTGTAAGGAGGATGGTGGGGAAACAGAGGTGGACACCAGGGGCTCCCCTTGTAAGCAGAGATGTAATTCAGGGCTGACACTTTGGGCAGAATATGGGGTGTGGCTGTGTCTCCTCCCTGTACCCCTCCTCTGGAGTTGGTATTCAGAGCCTCTGAAAGACGGCCCACTCTTTTGGTCAAGTAGGGGCGGCCGCCAGGCTGCCCCTCCCCTCACAAATTGCCCCCCAGGCCTGGCTCCCATCCCAGCAGCATCTCTTCCCCATTTCCTGCAGGCCGCGCAGACCTCCAGCCCAGACAAGCCTGGGTGTGGAGTGAGTGATGCCGGGGGGCCAGGCCAGAACCCCGGTTTCCCACCATATCGGTACAAATCCTGCATGACCTTCAGATTCCAGAAACAGCAGATCACTTCTTCATGCTGCTCTTGTTTAGCGTGTCCTGTGTGTACGTGTATTTCATGTTTCAGCACCCGGTGCAGCTCCTTCGCCCTGCCTGGACCGCCATGCCCTTGCTGCCTGCCTGCATGGTCCACCTTTGGTCACTATACAGTGGCTGACGGGGCTGCCCCGCCCCTCTCCAGCACAGTCTCCACAAACCCTCCTCCAAGGGGCTGGGTCACAGCCCCTTCTCTTCCCTATACTCCTCCAGCACCTCATCTATACCACCCTTCCCAATACTTGACTTCCTAGGCATTTTGTTCCCCACGTTCCTGGCCCAGCGGGGCAGCTAGGCCACAGAAGGTGTGCAAACACATGGATTTCACCTGACTCCAGCCTGTGGCACCTTGGTTGATCCTCTGCCTCAGGCTTCCTATCAGTAAAATGGGGGTTCATAAAGACAGTTGCGCCTCTGGGGTCTGGTGTCCCTCTTATCTCTAGTCTTACATGTCCTTGTCACCTCCCCTAGTTCCAGCATGGCGTTGGAGAGACAGTGCTTCATAAGTTCCTGGTGGTGAGTCTGTATAATCTTGACAGGGCGGAGGGAAAAAAATGTGCCTTGAGCCCCAATTCTAGGGCCAGGGGACAGACCGTGGGGAAATGGGTTTTAAGACAAAGTGAACGAACACACTCCAACATTACAGAAAATGATAAAAGTCCAGAATGAACTGTCCTGAGAGAGTAAGAACAGAAATTGCTTCAAAAAAAGTTTAAATGGGAGGGGATGGGTGATTAAGGGGTTAAGGTCACCCCCCAGACCTCTCTCCTCAATCCCAGAGCTGGAGGGAGAAGGAAGTGGTACCTCCATTCTGGTGCCCTTTCTACGGTCCTGGGCGGGCTCCAGCTGGTCTGGTCCCCAGCAGAGTCACACTAGAGTCTCTGGCTGGGAGTGGTCCAGGGGGAGAAAGAGGCTCACCCTCCCCTCTTCTGAAGGCCCCACTCAGCCGTTGAGAGATGGGAGAGGGGAATCTGGCTGGGGTGCTTCCTGGGCTGGGAACATGCAAACGAGTCAGGGGAAGGAGCCAGGCATTAAATGTCAGGAAGAGCCCAGGGCAACTCGGCTTGTGCAAAGTTTGCTTTGGGAAGAGTTGTTCCACCTGACAGGCCACTTGCTTGGCTGGGGATGCAGGGTGGGGCATGGAATGGGGATGGGGGTGAGGAGAGCTGTGGGGAGAGGGTCCCAGACCAGGTTTGAGCCCTGACTCCCTGTTCTCTAGCTCTGGGACTGGGGGCAAGTGACTCAGCTTTCCCTGAGACTCAGTTGTCCCATCTGTTAAATGGGTTCTCAAGAGCATGTCTTAGAGGGGTTGTGAAGATTGAAGAATGAGGTGGATGAAAAATCCTTGTGAATTATGATAGGCTGGGCATGCATGAAGGTGGCACCTGAGAGCAGGTGAGGGCATGGGGCTGGAGAAAAGGAAAGGGAAAGGTAATGGGGTGCGGAATGAGGATAGCAAAGGAAGAAGCAGGTGGTGATGGTGGGTGGAGGGTCAGAGCCAAAGGGAGAATCCTGGGGGAGAGTTGAGGATGGTGATGAGGGAGACCTGGGCTTTGCCCTGAGGTCATCCTACTCTCTAGCCCAAGCCAGGGCAGCTACTGGCCTCACCCACCCTTCCCTGACCTCTAGAAAAAGTCAGAGCCAGAGCCATTCACCTCCCCTGATCTCAGCCTGGGACACAAGGCTGGGAAGGCACCTAGGTCTCGCAAAGCTGGCAGATCAGCCAGCCAGTCTGCCTCCACCAACTCCTACACAGCCCACAAAACCCAGCTCCAAGTGTCTCCACCATAAAACCTCCTTTAAGAGAGGAGGCTACCTTGTTTAACCTTCTCATTACCCAGACAGAAGCTGCGACTTCACAAAGGAAAAGTGACTTGCCCAAAGCCACACATTGTGGGCCTTAACCTGTTCCTTCTTGCCCTCCACCAGAGGGTCTCTGTCCCCATGTCAGCTTAAACTGATGTCCGCAGGTTACACTCAAGCTGCACCAAGTCATTTAGCACAAAATTGTCATCTAATTGTTTCAGGGTTGTTAACTTTATACCTGTAACAACCTCAGTGGTAAAAAGTGGGTTCTCCTGCATTCTTCTGCTTACTGCCAGTGTCCCAACTTCTGAGCATCGATTGAGCATCTACTGGATGCTGCCTATCCCTTCAGGCTTGGATGACAGAGCAGCTGTATCTAATTCAGAGAGTCCTTGTGAAAATCAAGTGGCATCGTATCTGCTGAAGTATTTTATAATTGGTAACACAATAAACATGTCTGATAGGGACTGAGTTTTCAGCTTTGGGTCCCCCCACAGCGCCTGGAGCATACAAATCACTTGTCCATTAACTGTCAGGCTCTCAAAGGGGAAGGTGGTTCCCTATCCTGAGAGAGACCACCTCCTCCACACCCCAACTTCCCTGGGAGCCCTGAGAACATGGTCTGCCCCCAAATTTCTGTGAGTTTGGGGTGGTGAGACTCCAAGTTGAGAGTCCCTGGCACTGGTCCCGCCTCTGGCCCCTCCCCTGCAGGGGGCAAGCAGGACTTGCCCTACTGGGCTGGGCCAACGCCTGGGTCTACTTGTCTGGTGGGGCATCTCCTGCCCATCCCTGCCCACCCTCTCGGACCTGGGCAGCCCAGGTGCCTGTTTGCTTTGTTACTCAGCTGAGCAGCTGGTGCTGGGGAGATGCTGCTTTATTGGGGGGTGCTGTGAAGCTGTTTATTGGGGAGGTGGGGGCAGGAAATGAGGCCAAGTCCGAGCCCCGGCCAAGGAGGAGGAGAAAGGCAGTGCCTTCCACAAAGAGGATAGGCCCCTTGAGGCATGTGGCCTGGGTGGGCTGCTGGGGGGTGGGGGGTTGCCCAGATGACAGGGTGAGGTGAGGGGATCCAGGGCTAGCTCAGTGAGCATGCCCACTCCCCAACATGCACAGAGGGGCACACATACACACACATGCACGCACACACGCTCACATATACACACGTACATGCCCACGCACGCGAACACCTTATCCAACTTTGGGGGAGTCCCCAGCCATCAGACCTTCAGCTTTCCACCCTGTCATCTCCACCGTCTAACTTCCCTGTCTCCCCACAGGAGACATCCAGTTTCTTTCCTACAAGGACCCCTGTTTCTTTCCTCATGTGCCCAGGCTGGGGCCCACAGGTCCTCTGCTTCTCTGTGTACCCGTGCAACCAGGTGGTTTGCTCCACAGCTGCCTGACCATCTGGTTCCTGTGCCCACCACTGGCCTGCCCGCTCCCTGGGCTCTGGGCCTGTCCCTGCTGCTCCAACCTGGACCCTAACCGTGGGTCTTCAGGCCCCAGCAAGCCCCTTTCCACTGTGTCCCGGCCCTGGGGAGACCCTTCCCTTGGCCGAGCAGCTGCGGCTGGCAGCAGAAAGGCTGCTTGTGTTTCACTAGCCAAGCAGAACGGGCCAGGTCTCAGGGCCGAGTCTCTGCATCTACAGAACTGCCTCCTCAGACTGGGCAGGCTGGGCTCAATGTGGAGCCTGGAAGGGGGCCATCACAGACATGCGGCGCCCAGGCCTTGCCAGGCCAAGGGGGCTCACCCGGGCTCCAGGGTGGGCCCAGGGAGGGAGACCAGGCAGCATGAGGAGAGACAGGGGTTTCTGAGGGTGAAGGGCCCAGGTCACAGGGTCACTGGTGTCCGGAGATTGGTTCTCAGCTTGCAAAGTGCACCTTCAAGTCCTCTCAGTCGCCCACCTCCCCACAGCTTGCAGGGAAGGCCCTGTGCAGGGCACTGGGTAGACTTACCCGTTAGCTGCCTGGTGCCCAAGGAGTCGCCTGCTGCGGTAGCGACCTCGGGGGACAGGAGGAGGCAGGGGCAGGTTAGGCCACTGCTGGGTCTCAGCCAGGCATCTGGGGAGCCAGTGGGACCAGGGACCAGCAGGGCTGGGGACAGAGGTGGCACTCGGGTGGGCCGCCGGGGGCCTGGCCCCCCTCGAGGGGTGGCCCTCTGAGGTCTCAGGGTTGCGTGCCCTGTAGGGAGCCCCAGCCCCCCAGCCCAGGGCCACTTGCTGGCACCGACCGTGGCAAGACCCAGCCGGAGGGGCTTGCTTACAGGGCAGCTGCGGTGGGCTCAGGGCACGAGCCTGTGGGCTCAGGTTCTGAGTCTGTGGGGCAGTGCGGACAGACGCAGGTAGAGTGCAAGAATGTGCTGGGAGGAAGTCAGGCAGCCTGGGATGAAGCGTTGGCCGGGCCTGATTTCCCATTATAAGTAATCCTTCCTTATTTACCTGAACAAATACGCTCCCTGCTTACCTCAGACCACAGGCAGGCTCCCAGTTAACCCTTTCGGTCCTTCCTCTCCTCACTGAGGGAACCTACATCCTGGCAGCCAGGGAACTCACTCACTCACTCACTCACTCACTCACTCACTCACTCACTCACTCACGTGTTCTTAGTTGATGCATAGCTACTGGACTCATATTATGTGCAAGGCACAGGGTATATATCAAGAGGCACCTGGGCTGGGGCACTCAAAGGGATCAGCCGAAGGTGGGACACAGACAAGCAAGCAGCAGTGGAAGTTCGGAGCCTCAGTGGAGAGCAGTGGGAGCACTGAGGCAAGGGAAGTCAGTGAGGGCTTCCTGGAGGAAGTGCTGTCTGGATCCCCAGGCCAGGGATGGAGGCAGGTCCAGAAAAACCTGGGGAAAGGTACCCTGCATGGGGGCTGAGATCCCTGCACCCCATGGGCACAGGCCCACCACCGTACTCAGGAGGAACGGCTCAGGAGGAACTGTTAGCTTGCTTTCCCAGGCCCAGAGTGGGGGTCGGACAACGGCAGCTTACTCTAGCGCCTGAAGGGTGGGGGCAAGGAGAGGAGGCTGCACCCCCCCCCCACATCCAGGCACCCACCCCCAGGCTCCTCCACCTCCATGAGTCTAAGGAGGTCTTCGCAGTTGAGGTCTCAGCTTCCTACTCAGCCTACCAGGTGGGTTGAAGGATGTCCCAGGAGAGCAGGGGTTGGCTCTTCTTTCTCTGGATCACCTTGGAAGGGCACCAAGCACCTGCTACCCCCTTTCTGTCCAGTGAGGGCATTTTAGATCATGTTGATTGTTGTTTTCTAATTTCAGAAGGAATTGTGGGACTGCCCACAGGGTGAGTAACCTAGGACTTCAGGAAGAGTCCAAGGCCTTCAGAACTAACCCCTCACCTTCACTGATGCCATAATTCTCGGACATATGGTTGCACTTTTCACTCTGGAGAGCCCTGTGTTTGGCTATTGTTGTCACCAGCACCTTAGTGAGGATGAGTTATCGGAGTCATTCCCCAGAGAAGGTTGAGGTAAGATGGGATGGAGGAGGTAATACAAAGTTCTAAAATGGCTACAGATAACCAGCCCAGCCCTCCAGGCTCAATGAAAAGAAAGACCCCCTACTTCCCCAGGCAGGTCCTCCTCCAGGATGTCTTTCTATACTTCGCTTCCTGACCAGGCAGGCAGCCCTCCTCTCTGCTCTCACAGAAACTTGTGCTAATATCAGCACTTTGATGCAGTGAAAATAATGTCCACTGCTCAATAAGCACCTACTATATGCCAAGCACTGTTCAGCACTCATGAGATGCTAAGGTATTAATCATATTATAAATAATATAACATAGGTAAGTACAAGGAATACCCAACAAATGCTTATTAAATGGATCAGGTGTCAGAGATAGTTACCCCCAAAGCCTATTTCCCCCTTTTCCTCTGTAACAAGCCCCTACTTTTTAGCTTAGAACTTGGCTACCTGGAATTAAGACTATCCCAGACTCCCTTGCAGCTAGATGTGATTATGTGACCAAATAAAAGTGTCATATGTCAATTTCTAGGAATCTTTCTTAAAAGTAAACTGGCATGGGCCGGCCGAGTGGCGTGATGGTTAAGAACTCGCTTGGGATGCCGGAGGGCCCTGGTTCGGATCCCACATATGAGGGCCAGTGACACTGCCCTCCACAGCCGAGATGCTGAACGGCGGCTCAACCTGGAGCTGGGCTGCCGTGGGTCGCTGGCGACGGCGTAGGCTGCAGTCCCTGTGGCAGTGGGTTGCCATGGGCTACCGTGTGTG